ACAACAATAATAATAATGAAACACTAACATAGAGGTGAGCTGTGAATTATCCAGCTGCTATGAAATTCTCAGTAATCATTTGAACTCCCTGAAAAATGCTCTCGTAGGATTAAATGTGTATTCTCCTTATTAGATTCTGCCTTGCCCTGAAAGTAACAGAATAAGAGTTTGAAGGGATTATAAAGACAAGAGGTCTTTACAGTCCAACCGCTTGCTTAGGCAGGAGACCCTATACATTTCTTCTTAAAAACTTCCAGTGTTGGGGCATCCACAACTTCTGGAGGCAAGTTGTTCCACTGATTAATTGTTTTAACTGTTAGTAAATTTCTCCATAGTTCTAGGTTGTTTCTCTCCTTGATTAGTTTCCATCATGTGGTTTGTGTAGCACAATAGTGTTTTTTTCTCTTTAAGATCAGATAAATAAAAATGGTCCAAGTCCTCTCTGGCTTTTTAATAAATGTATTTATTGTTTCTCTATATTGCACTTATACAGTATATTAATGTGGCCTGAAAGAGGGTTAATAAATTAAATACTTCAATATCTCTATTAAATTTTGTTCTGATTTGAAGACCATATGTGCAGTGTTCAAAATCCTTTGGAAAACAAGAAAACTGGCTTACAGTTTGAAGGTTATCAGAAGTGTAATTGCATTTGTCTAATTCTATTTTATAGCTGTTATTTTTTGTGATTTTAATTTGTGGTTTGATTTGTTGTTTAAAGGCAACCCTCCAGATGCTTACTTTCATGGTTTTTTCTCCCTTTTTTCAGTTTGTAAGTAGCATTTAGGTCTATTCTTAAATTTCTAAAGATTTAGTAGTAACACTCTCCCTTCACCACAGAATGTAAATGTTGTCCATTCGCCATGGAAGTTGATATTGTGCAAAGCAAGGCTGTTGCTCTAGACCCATTCAAGTTACCCTAAGGCTGTAATCCTATGAGATCTGAATGCACTTATATAGTCACTTGATTTCAGTTATTAAAGAGGCAGTATTAATTTCTGGAGGGCTCCAAATGAATACATTTTGGAAAAGGAGTTAATCCTTGGATAGTCATTAATGTACTTTATAAGCATCCATATTTATATATCATTGCAGTGATTTTTCCGACTCAGTTGGAAATTGAATTACATTCTAGCTCCATAGCTAATTAATCAAGAAAAAAAAATCCAAATTCAAAATTTAAAAAATACAATTCTTTAGGAAAATTATATTTGTTTGATACTTACAAGTGATCTGAAATCTTTATTGTTATTTTTAGCTATCTTTGACCCTTTCTGATCCTATTAGTTTATTATATTGAGTTAGATTTTTGCTTAATTAATTGTTGAGTTTCATGGAACAAACATTATTAATAATTGATAGAACAGAAAGCCAAAGTTTCACTTCTATTATACATATTTCCAAAAAAATCTAGAAGTATTTTAATATATTGGGAGTGAGAGATGAATTGTGCAGTTGAAATAAAGTCATATCAGATTTGTCCATAAATACATATGCCTATTTTATCTAGTCCTGCAGAAGATACTGTCTCTTAGTCTAGACAGTGATTTGCTTGCACTGGCATACAGATCTCTGCATGCTCCACATTTTGGTGTTTCTATATGCTTTGAAGCCTGCTTTTCCTTTCTGTTTTACTTTATGTGCATGTGAATTTTAATGTTTTTACATTGCATGGTTTTGCTTAATTCCAATTATTTTCATCTTTTTAACTAAAACATTATCATGACATTTAATTGAAAAATAACTTTTCATCTTGTAGCAAGGAAGGAAAGAGCCTCTGGAAATAGGGATAAATTCATTTTAAAACAACTCATAAGCCATCAAGGACAGGGGCACAGTAGAACTGGAACTATTCTTTTTTCCTTCTACCTAACTGAAATTGTGAAAATGCTCACAATTTCAGTATTACTCACCTTTTCACAGTGACAAACTTCCATATTGTTTCTTCAAATTATGGCAGATTCTTGTTTAATTAAAGGAATCTAAAATGGCCATTCATTCTGATGTATGGCCATATCCAAGAGAATGCAATAGTAGCTCAGTAATAGTAATAATTCCGTGTGTATGTGTACATACACACACACACACACACACACACACACACACACACACACACATTACAAACTATTCTAAAAATATGAGCTCCAGGTATACTTATATATATAAAAGATAAAATGTTAAATAATGCTCAAGTACTCAAGTACTATCTTCTCCCACTGTTTCTTCAAATCTATGTTAAGGTGTAGAATAGAAGTTTAGGGATTTGACGTACCTCAAGCTATGTTGGATTTCCATAAATTTTCATCCAACCACTGTTTGCATGAAGTCAATGTTAGTAAAAACTGTTCATTTAACCTCTACTCAAGATGCAAAACGCCATACTACATATAAATATATACATCCAGGTACACCACTGTCTGGATTATATAATCAGTCCTTAATTGGTTCCATTCTGATTTTTTCTCTTTCATTACTGCAACTCTGTAAGAGAGGCCAGAAATAAATGTTTGTTTGTATGTTTGTTTGTTTGGGAGTGAACTTGTAGGTTCTTCATTAGACTTACCAGCTATTGATCTTGTATATTTAAACATGTACATTTTCATTTGTAAAAACTTGTATAGATCTGCTAATTGGGCCAAATTTATATACATGTTTGTCAAAAATAAAAGAATAGTGTAGTATTGAAATAACAATAGATGTGTTATGTGTCAAGAACATGTGATTACAATGTTAGAGAAATTGAGATTATACAGTATACCAGTGTAAATTGTAAACATAACAATCCTGGATTTTAAACATTTGGTAATGAGTTGGGATACCATATTTGAAAGCCTTTAGAACAAATATTCCCATCTTCCTACCCTTTCTTGCCTTAATTATAGTTAAGCATCATAACAATACCACGAGGAAATCTGATTACTTGAATTAATGTTGGTAATAGTATAAGGTTCAAATGCTGTTGAGCAGGATGAATATGTCAGTCTTTCCCATTCTCCTTTTCTAGTGGTCCCTTTTTCAATATTCAATACATATGAAAAGCCTAAATTACATGGTAATTAAGGTCCATAGTGCTTAAGTGGAAAGTAGATGCCCCTGCCCGCCTAAGAAGCTTTCAAAGGCCCAGAGACCTTCTAAAATACATGCACTAAGGTGGCAGTTTGTGGCAACTCACCACAGGGAGGGAGGTGATATCCCAAGGATCAAGAATGTGGCTGCAATTGTACAGTTTAAGTCCTACTTCCCTTTTTATATGTGTGGTAATATAAGGCATGTGAAGGAAGAATACAGCCACCATCTTGTCTGCTTTTTAATGCTCCCTTTGTGTGGACTCCCTTATTAGCTAGAAAGGACTTGAGTAAAACAAGATGATCAAGTCCTGAGAAATATGCCATGTAGGTTTTGAATTAAACCTATTGAACATATATAAGTCCTCTCTCAGTGCTGATCTCTAAGATTAACCCAGACTGCATTTATTAAAGTCAGTACTGTTGAAATAAATGTTGCCAACTTTCAGATATATTTGCGTAAGATCCAGATTTAGGAGTGTGAAATATTTTTTTAAAAAAAACCTGAAAAGAATACATGAAGTATGGATGAAATTCCTTTGGTGTCTCTTTGGAACCTACATACAGACTTCTTCTACCTTAACCAACTGTATAGCAAACCGAAACTGAATCAATAATGTTTTCCCCTATTGAATATAAGGAACAGTTTCTGCTGCATATTGTTAAAAAGACTAAAATCAAAAGTACTTGCCATGACTGATTGTATGACTCAGACAAAAAAGCCAATAACTCCAACCAGACATATTCATCTGTGGTGTCTAATAATACTATCTGTAAACATATGCCATTACTTGTGAAGAAAAAAGGTAGATTTAGTTTCAAAACTACCATCAAGAAAACCAGAGAAGGTGATAAGATTGCCATAGCTCAACAAAGAGGGAATTTTATCTTTGTTTTCTTCTTACAAATACTTCGCTTTTCACTTAAATCTTTGGCAACCTAAGCTTTTTTGGAATGTGCCTATGTACAATACTTGTACAATCTATTTAATAAGTGCCATGAACATTTAAGGAAATGTATCAAGTCTGGTACATAATTAGAAGCTGTTATGTTCTACATGCATAGTGAGAGCTGATGATAATTTGGCACCATTTTGTGCACTGAAATATGATTAGTCATTTTAAAAAACTTACAAATGGTAACAAATGAGGTGATATCAAGATCTAATAGCTCTGAATCAGCTTTTTTATATACTCCAACTCATTTGGGATGAACTGTCCATTTTGTTTACTTTTCTAATTGCGCTAGTGTTGATGATAGGTGAATTTTATAATTTATGCCAACCTTTTCTTCACTAAGAACCCCCTTTAAATACCTTTTGCAGCCACAGACCATAGCGCTGGACCAACAAGACTTAACTCAAGATTTAAATTATAGTATTTTTTCACAGAGCCTCTGTGACAACATTGTGGCCTCTGAGAGTTCCATGGACCACAGGTTGAGAACGATTGATTTATGCCATTTGAGTTCTCTTAAGGGAAATGTTGAGGCTGCTCTCCATGTAATCTTCATTGTTTTTCACTCTTAATATACCCTTCAAATTATCCTTTTTGGTGGAAAAAAAATCACTAAGACTTGCATTAAAATCAAGTAAACGAAATTATCATACAGTGTTGTTGCACACCCTCTGAGTCTTAGTATTTGTGTACTCACAAATTTACTCACTTCCACTTGGCAGCTAAAATCCTTTGTATTTCCCAATGGCTGCTCCAGTCTCATTTGTCATTTCCAGCCTTTTAACACAGGTTCACCAACACTAACCTCCTAATGAAGTTTTTTAAAAATGTCTTACATGTGCCCTGAAGTATAGATTTTGGGGATTTATAACAGCTTTACCTTACACAGAGTTAAAATGAAGAATTTAGAACCTGCATGTGAAAGCTTGCATCTTTGTCCTTTTCTTCTGAAATCAATTATTTGCCATTCCTTTCATAGGTTCAGTCCATGCAACATCAATAGCGGCCTCTAGAGTGGAGCAGGCACTATCAGAGGTGGCTTCCTCTTTGCAGAGTAGTACTCCAAAGCAGGGTCCTCTGCATCCTTGGATGACTTTGGCTCAGATCTGGCTTCATGCAGGTAATGGGACAGAGCAGTTGTTTCTTCTTCCCCATTAGCCCCAGGAAACTCTTTGCTGCATTCAGCAGGCCAGAATGTTTTGTTGGATGTCAGCATAAAAACACTGTTTAGAAAGATGCTTTTTCAGAATGTGGCATTTTGATTCATTTGAAGACAAGAACACAGTGATGTTTAATTTATGCAAACTCTGGGTTAGAAGAAGGAAGCATTTAGTATTTAACAAGCCTGTCAGAAAGTTGACTCTCCCTGTTTTTTCCCCCCAACCGCAGGCCAGAAGATGTTAAGGCATGGAAATGTAAGATGTCACACTGCAAATTAGGTGTGACATTATTTTCATGAACTTTAAAATGGCATTACTCAAGAAATATGTAGTTGGGAAAGAAAGCAGCAGTTTTGGTGGAAAAGATAAATGCCACTTGAAAAATGTATCTTTTAAAGTGTTTTCTTAAAATGCATCAAAGGATAAAAATAACTAAAATAGTTTTGGGAGAATTTTGGGGGGATACACACACACACACACACATACTATATAATCAATTTTGTTTATATATATACATTAACAATAAAGATTATTATATGTTTTATACAGATAAATTAGTATATTAATTGAGAATTTTAGGAAGAGTTTCTGGTCATATCTTAATGCTTGGGTAATTTAAGTTTGCATAAACTTGATTAGGGCAGACAGGAGAAAAACGTTGTCCCATGAGAAATAACTATGTATATTCAGGAGTTCCAGTAGTCTTAATTTCAAAAATGCTATTTTTGTTATAGTATGCTAGAAATGATATGTAATACTAGTAAGCTAATACATACTAGCTTTCTAAAAAGAACATTGTGTGGGAAAATAAAAGCATTCCCTGATTAACAGTTGGAACTGGTGAGGCAATAGATGATTATTCAGGTATCTGCTCTGTCTCAGGCAGGCTCATCTATTCATGTTTACATTAGGCAGTTCACGTTGAGCTAATGTGAAATAATGGACTTTGCGAAGCTAGGTAAGGGTTCCCATTAGTCCACTTCAGATAATAATGTCCTTTCAAGGATTATTAAAATGGAGGAGCGGAGCATTTATACTTGTTTGGAAGTAAAAATGTGATAGGTAGGTAGGTAGGTAGGTAGGTAGGTAGGTAGGTAGATAGATAGATAGATAGATAGATAGATAGATAGATAGATAGCTTTCTTTTACAAATTTTCCTTGTGTATATATACCATGCATAAGAAGAAATATGGATATTATGTAATTTTTCATTTAATTCTTGTTTCTAACTAAAAATTCAAATCTGTAGCATTCTTTTGTTTTCTGAAGTACTTTGTACAGAGGTAGATGCTTAATCCTAAATCTGAACTAGAATTTGGAGGAAGATGGTTTAATTCCAAATCAGAATTAAGACTTGGAAATTGTAAATACATGTAGTCCTTGATTTATGACTTCAATTGAGCCCAAAATTTCCATTGTTAAATAAATTTTGTCCCAATTTATGATTTTTTAGCCATTGTTTCTAAGTGAATCACTGCAGTCAGTAAAATGGTTGTTAAGTGAATCTGGCTTCCCCATTGACTTTGCTTGTCAGAAGGTCACAAAAGGTGATCACATGATCCTGGGACACTGCAACCATCATACATGCCAGTTGCCAAGTGTCTGAATATTGATCATGTGACCACGGAGATGCTGCAACAGTTGTGAGTGTAAAAAACAGTCATCAGTCACTTTTTCAGTACTATTATAACTTTGAATGGTCACTAAATGGTTGTAAGTTTGAGGGCTACCTGTATCAAATAGAATGATTGATTGATTGAGGAGATTACTATGGATGTTAAGTTATAAAACAATTACTGGTGCTGGTCAAATATAAACATTTTGCATCTATGTGCACAAGCTAGGCAAAAAGGTGAAACCTGCTTATTTTATAAGGAAATCTCTGGGACTTAAAAGGACCATGAACATTTGGTAATTTGACCTCTCGTCTTTTCTATATCTTAAATCTTGGCTTCTAGTGACAAATGCTATGCAACACTTCTGTTTTTAAATACTTCCAGAGTGACAGGGTTTATAATAATGCTTTCTATGAAAGTATTATTTCCTTCCACTCCTGTGACAGCAAATGTATTTTGTACTTTTCCTGTGACGGTCATTACCAACTGGTTGCTGGGCGTAGCTAATTATTTCTGAGAAGCTAAATGTGTTGTCCTAGTAGTACAAGCAATCCAGAAGGCTCAATGAATTCTTCATGTGGAATAAGCCATTTTATCCATCTGTAATCCTTGGAGACTTGAATCTCATTTCAAGCCCAAGGAAAAGATGTTTAGTCAGAGGAAGTATTTGTGTCAGAGGAAGTTTGTATCCTGCCTTTAACTTAATGGTGTTTTACAAAGTTAAAAGCATAAAAACAACAGAGACATCTATAAACAATTCTGTTAAATATATTGTACATTTAAAATGGATGTAGCAAGTATGAACCAGCATTTTTTGAAATTAAAATACTTTGCTAAACAGTGTCTGGAACATCTTCAACAAGGAAACTAGATGTACTTTTCTGACAAGAGTAGCTGAGAAGACATCCTTCTTGCCAGGTTTCTACTATGTTCATTTATTATTTGATTTGTACCCTACCTTTTGTAAATAAGAGCTTACGGTAGTGCACATAGTGTTCTCTACTGTTTTTTGCCTCACAAAAGCAATTGTCTGAAAAATAAATTGAGCTGATAGAGAGTAGTAACTGGCCCAGAGTTATCCAGTGACCTTCCATGGCCAGTAATAAAGTAGAACCTGGATCTTTGTGCTCCCAGTCCAACATCTTGATTTCGGTTGGCAGATCAGAAAGAAGGCCTTTGCCAAACAGGGTGGTTTGTATGGAAGACTGCAATCAGTGAAAACCAACCTTTGAATTACACCCAGAAATAAATTTGTAAACAGTAAAGTTTCTTCATCTATTGGGTGTTATAAATTTAAAATTAATTTCTATATTGTAAAATATTTTAGTAGATTGTGGATTTAATGCTGAATTCATGTATTCAAATTCTATTCTTCCTTTTAACTGCTAGTGGGGGTGTGACTTGATTGGGTGGGGGCTTGGCTGTGTTCTGATTGGGTGGGGGTGTGTTCTGATTGGTTGGGGGTTTGGCTGTGTTCTGATTGGTTGGGGGGTTGGCCATGTTCTGATTGGCTGGAGGTGTGTTCTGTTCAGGTGGGGGCTTGGTTGTGCTCAGGTTGGTCTTAGTTACTGGGGGATTTGAGCTGATGAACTGTGATCTTGCTGTTTGGCTTCAAGTTCGTGGTCGTGCTGCATCTTCATGGTGGGGGTCAGTTCGCTTCATGTATGGCTCAGAGGGGTTTGAAGTGGGTAGTGATGCAGCTGCAGTGCGGCTTCTGGTCTGTGGTCGTGTCTAATCTTCTGTGTGGGTGTGAGTCTGCTTTTTACGTGGAAGTGTGGTGGTGGCATCTTGTTTTCTTTATTTTCTTTACCACCTGAACAGAACACACCTCCAGCCAATCAGAACATGGCCAACCCCCCAACCAATCAGAACACAGCCAAACCCCCAACCAATGAGAACACACCCCCACCCAATCAGAACACAGCCAAGCCCCCACCCAATCAAGTCACACCCCCACTAGCAGTTAAAAGGAAGAAGCAGCTGCAAGCTCACATCACTCTGAGAAGCACAGAGCTGAAGACAGAAGCCTGAAGATGATGAATGAGACTTCATCGAAACGTTGCCTAGATACTTCCAATCTTACGTGGGAGAAAACCCGAATAACCAAAGATCCATATAAAAAAATTATATAACTAATGATTTTTTTAAAATTCAAGATTAAAAGATAAAGATTGTGTCAAGTTGGACAGCAAGCAAATTTAATAAATAAATAAACGGAAAAAGAAAAAAGCTCAAGAAAGAAAAAGTACAAGAAAAAAGTAAGAAAGAAAAAGAATGACATGATTTTCTTTGGTATAGATATGAATAAAGAAAATAGCTTCTAAGATTAACATATTTAATTTTTCTAGCATTTAATATATTGTCATCAATTTAGGAGAGCATATTAACAACAACAACAACCAAAGAAAATTTATCATATTTGTTATTTAACTCTTAATTCTGCTGTCATTGTGCTCAATAAAGAAAACAACCAGATACTATTATCATCATCATCATCTAGTGAACTTGTAGGTCACCTAACTCTCATTGACACTAGGCAGCTCACATGAGTGACAGTTCTCTCTTTGTAATGGACAATATGATTTTTCTGTCGGGTATCAAACTGACAGCCGGAAGGCCGTATGCATTACATGCAGGCCACGCCCACCCCAGCTCCGCAAATGGGAAAATGTCATGAAATGTCATGTGACAGCAACATGACGCCGCAAGTTTCACACCTGTGCTCTTAAGTCAACTTTTCCTAGTGTAGCCCTCCATTTAAAAAAAAAATCTGCATATTGGAGAAGTCTGTATCTAGATACCTAAACGTACATATATATAGGTAATATATTTTCAAAAAGGCTTGGTGACTCAAAGCATCAAATAGCTCTTCTTGAGCCCCTCCTGATCCCTGTAATTGTTCTTGCATAAACTTTGAGTAAACTGGAAGTCATATTGTGGCATAATAGAAATAATTAGATAGGAGAGGAGAGCTTAAATTACTACTCTGCGAAGCTCACAGGTTCACCTTGAGCTGATCATTAATATTGTTGCTAAGATTCTAGAAATATACTAGTCAAAGAGAGGATTAACAGGAGGATCAAATTGATGTTTCACCCTCAGAAACCTACAATATTGTGACATCAAATTCAATGGTAAGCTATATATGTAAGGGTTATGTATGAACATTTAAGCCGTGACCACTGCTGCAGTGTCATAAAGTCATTGCTATACTCTATGAAATCCTGGGAGGAAAAAGAAGACTGGAGTCCTTATTGCTCTCTGCACTTTGTTAGTTGTTTGAAAGAAAAAGAATTTGCTAAAAAGAAATGGGAGCATTCAGTTCTTTTAGGAAATCAGATTCC